TTGGTTTTTTAATTAAATATTTTTATTGACTTAAGAGAGGAAGAGAGAGAAACATGAATGATGAGAGAGAATCATTGATTGGCTGCCACACTGGGAATTGAGCCCGCAACCCAGGCATTGTGCCCTGACCAGGAATTGAATCATGACTTCCTGGTTCATAGGTTGACACTCAACCACTGAGCCACGCCTGCTGGAGGTTGGTTGTTTAATTTAATTACTTCGTGCTATAATGGCCAAAGCCATCATGATTGGTAAAGTGGTATAAAGTTTCTGAGAAGTCAGAAACATCTTGATCTAATTATAATTCTTCTGCTGGGTGGTTTTATGATATTGGGCCAATCACATAACTTCTTTGGGTCTCAGTATTCTCATCAGAAAAATTTAAGTTTAGGTAGTCTGTGAAGATGATTTTAGTTCTTTCTACACTGTTCCATGGTCATGGTCTGAACTCCCAACTTCATAACCTCACTCAACATTCTCTCAAATGTATAAAGACAACTCAGTTTACTTTGTGTGATTCCCCCCCCCCCTTTGGAAGAACCATTCAGTGTTTACTTTGGCCTTGGGCTTTTATTTTCAGTACACTTGATATACCAACAAAATAATTAGACTGGAACTTCATTATTTTAAGATTTCATGAATTTCAACCTCTAGCTTTTCAAAGTTTTACTTGTACCAAATTATCTTTCAGATTGTATCATTTTCTTAATGCTATATATAGATTTATCTAGCAGATTTCCAGACTCTAGACTACTAAATTTTTTAATTTTCTGGTAATCACTGAATCGCAGTGTGACTCAAATCCAGTCTTATGTGTAACGTTTTTGAACAGAATTGCTTTATTTATTGGTTCTTCACCCATCTGTCCATCTTCATTAATTCTCTTCCACCTAACCCATATCACATCTTTACATTTAAAAAAAACCATCTGCTGCCAAAATCGGTTTGGCTCAGTGGATAGAGCATCAGCCTGTGGACTGAAAGGTCCCAGGTTCGATTCTGGTCAAGGGCATGTACATTGGTTGTGGGCACATCCCCAGTAGGGGGTGTGCAAGAGGCAGCTGATCGATGATTCTCTCTCATCGATGTTTCTAGCTCTCTATCCTTCTCCCTTCCTCTCTGTAAAAAAAAAAAAAAAAAAAAAAAAAAAAAAAATCAATTAAATATATTAAAAACAAAAACAAAAACAAAAAATACCCATCTGCCAAATGATACTTTCTTATGAAGCATCTGCCTTCAGATTTTACCAAGACTAATTTTCCAACATAATTTCCATAACTATTTGTTTCCAGTTCTGCCTTCTGAAAGTGTGAAAGCTTAACTGGTATTTAAGAAGGCCAGTACTACCCTAGTTGGTTTGGCTCAGTGGATAAAGTGTTGGCCTGTGGTCCCGAGTTTGATTCCGGTCAAGGGCCCATACATACCTTGGTTGCAAACTCTTCCCCAGCCTGGGCCCTAGTCAGATGTGTGCAAGAAGCAACCAATCCATGTGTTTCACATCAATATTTCTCTTTGTCTTTCCCTCTCTTTTCCACTCTCTCTAAAAATCAGTGGGGATGGAGCTGCCTGCAGACTAAAGGGTCCTGGGTTCGATTCTAGTCAAGGGCACATGCCTGGGTTGTGGACTCGATCCCCAGTAGAGGGCATGCAGGAGGCAGCCAACCAATGATTCTCTTTCATCATTGATGTTTCTCCCTCTCCCTCTCCCTTCCTCTCTGAAATCAATACAAATATATATTTAAAAAAGAATTTAAAAAAACCAATGGGGGAAAAAAAGGCCAGTACCTTTGAACTGATACAGTGCAGAAAAATATAAAGATTTGCTGTAACACTATTTAAATCATTAGGGTCTTTTAGATTTTAAGGTTTTCAAAGCACTGTTCATAAATACAGCAATTATATTTTCTCCCCTTATATAAACAATATTAACTTTTCCTATATTCACAAAATGAAATAATAATTGAATTGTGATAAAATGCAATAGTTCATGGCACTAATTTTTAGGAGACCTGTCCTGTCATTGAACAGTAGTAGGTTGGTCCAGGGTATTTTCTAGAGGTTGGCTTTTCCAAAAAGAGCTATTTTTGTTTGTTTTGTGTTTGGCTGTTTCACAGAAAACATTTTACCTCATGAGGCTTAATTGGCACATAAACTCAAATTGTAGCTAACATTTTTAATGAATGTTCCAATTTTAGCTTAAATAGTATACATAATATTGTAATAATCTTTATTTTTTACTAATTTTTATGATTTAATTTCAGTTAAATTAAAAATTTAATGTTCACTCAATTAAAAATTTTATAGTTAGATATACATATGTATGTGTATATAAAATAATGTATTTTGCATATATAATTCAGGTTCATTTCCATCCACTGTATTAGAAATCTGCTGTTTATTTGACTATTATTTCCTTTTATATAAATTCCTCCAGTATTAGGTTACTCTTGATCAAATAAGGGAAATGGAATGTTGTCTGCAGATCTTTTGTTACATTCTTTTGAAATATTGAAGAATACCCTAATCTCTTCTTTATATAAATAGTTGCAGTAAAACTCCTTCCTTCCACCAACACCTGAGAATGGTGGAAGTTTCCCAGATAGTTCACATTTACTTACCACTCTGCTGAACAAAACTATTTTATTAAAATTTAAAACTATATTATTTACTTATATAACCTAAAGTGAGATATGACCTAATTTTAAAAAATCTGGTGTATAAACAGTGACAGTATTCATTTCTTATATTGTTCATTTATAATAAATTCCTTCAGCAGATGTTTTGTACACAAACATAGCTTGTGCTGAGTGCTGTGGTTGGAGAGGCAATAAGATAGTCTTATCCTCAAGGAGCTCACAGTAAAGTGAAAATGAATCAGATATCCTTATTATAAAAATTATGCTGTTTAGTTTTCTATGTGTATTTATGCACACATACACCTATATATACTAACCATAGTCTACTTTATTTGTTTATTTAAAAAATATAAATATCTTTATATTTATATTGATTTCAGAAGGGAAGAGAGAAAGAGAGAAACATCAACGATGAGAGAGAATCATATTGGCTGTCTCTTGCATGTGCCATACTGGGAATGGAGCCTGAACCTGAACATATGCCCTGACCCAGAATTGAACCATGATCTCCTGGTTCATGGGTCAATGCTCAATCACTGAGCTACACTGGCTGGGCAACCATAACCCACTTTAAATCATAAAATACTAGGATATGGGACATGTAAAAAATAATATATCTTGGAATGATGTTAGCAATATATTGAGACACTAGTGGCCCAGTGCATGAGTTCATGCACATTGAAAGAAAAATAATTAGAAGTAATATTTTAATATAGCTATTTGCCCTTTCTCTATGATAGAAGTTCAGAGATGAAAGAAAATTAGTAAAATGCATATAAAATAATATATACATTGAAAAATAAGCAATAACAACATGATATAACAGACATGATGTAAAAATGATATAAAAAACAAAGACATGATATAAAACAGTATTGATAAAAACAGTGACTGATAAATTGATTAAACTTATTCTGATATCTTCCTGTACACCACATTAAGAGTAAAAACACTTTCAGAGAGCTTAACTAATTTCCCTTATGATGAAGTATTTACAACTTTAACGTCACACACTCTTCAAACTTGAGAGAAAGTAACATATAACTGACCATGTCTGAAAACAGGTTCAGATAGGAATATTCCTACTCTGTTTAGAGTTTGTCCTTGTGATTTATTAATAGTAATTGCAAATGCTGGCATCATGGGAAACTGTCTTTGAATTAATTTAAATGGGAGGCCAGTGTCAGATGGGGACAAATATCACACATGCATGAGTCATTTATTTTTAAATTGCCAGTGTGCATCATATTTTCTGGCCAGTCAGTTGGGTGGTTAGACAGACGTGTGGTTGGTCACTTAGCCTTTTATATATCTAGAAGAAGATGCACATCATATGTACTGGCTGGACGGACGCATGGTGTTGCTCACTCATCCTTTTATAAATATAGATATATAGATAATATCTGCTGCTGGATTTTTGTTGATTGATTGCTTGAAGGAAGTAATGTGCATGAGAAAGAATGACTTGGGAAACAGACTTATTGTTAAGGAAGGGGTATTTTCTAGGATAGGTTTTTATCCTTTGTTATGAAGTGTTCTGGTTTTGCTTTTCAGATTTTCCTACTATTTTTATCCTAAACCACCTGACTTACTCCTGGAGTTTTATCTCTTCTCATTCCTCCTTGGTCATGGTGTCCTTTATGAATGGGTGATTAGTTGTCTATATTTTGAATGTCACGAGGAAAACTGGTTTGTTGGTAGTGTGGTTACCTTGTTCTGCAGTTCTGAGAAGTCTAAAATTTCTCACCAATTTTATAAAGGAGAACAGCCTTACCTAATTTAATAGCCACCCAATATGTAACGCAGAAGAGTTACTCTGATAATGATCTGTAGCTTTCAGGTTTGAAACATTCAATCCTTGTACAATGATGTTATTAATATAATGTTTATTAAAAAGCAGGATTTTGAAAAAGCAGGATCAATATGGCTAATGAGATTTTTAACTTATATAATACTACAGAAAAATGTATCTCTGGCTTTACACATGGTTTGTATTCTCATTTTTTACCATACACTGTGATTAAAGATGAAGTGTTGATGTTAATTTACATCTCTGTTGATAAGAGGACTAAATATATTTTTTGTTTTATTTTTGCAATTATTTTTTTGAGAAATAATTTACATAACAATTTTTTTTGTCTTAAGGTGACAATGTGATTTTTAGTATATTCATAATGCTATGCAACTAAAACTACCATCTAATTTCAGGACATTTCCATCATCCTAAAAGAAGCCCCATACCTGTTAGCCACTCTCAACTCTCCCATCCCCCAATCTCTGAAAACAACTGGTCTACTTTCTGTCTATGGATTTGCCTATTCTGGACATTTCATAAAAATAAAATGTATTTTTTATTTTGTTTAGACACTACCAGAAGCATCTTTACCAAATTATGCCACAAATTTGAAAGATAAGAGTTCTTTAGTTTCATCTCTTTATAAAGTTATCCAGGAGCCACAAAGTGAGGTAAGTACTCTTACAGTTTATTGTACTAGAATTATTGATTGTACTCGTACAGTTGATTGATTTTAAAAATTTTATTGTGAAATATAACATATATAAAAGAGTAAGAAAAATATGTGTTTAAACAACTATAGTGTACATTATTAGTGTTTAACTGATTGCCTTTGAAAAATGGGGTAAGAGAAGAATACTGTATGTTCAAAAATGGCAGAGTAAAAAACATTTATAATAAAATGAACTCCAGTGTACCCACCCCCAGGCCAAGAAATAGAATTATTACCAAAATCCAAAAGCTATTTCTGAACATGTTCCTCCTCATCTTTCTCTCTATCTTGCTTGAGGTAGCCTAGAAAAGTCTGGGTCACTACATTCATCTACTCCTTTGGCAAATATTTGTGTCCACTATGAGCCAGCCACAGTGCTAGGCAATAGAGAATCAAAGATAATTAGAATCTTTCAAAGATGAGTAGCATTCCTCTCAAAAGAGGAGGGAGTAGAAAGTAAGTAAACACATACTTCCAAGGCAATTCTTAACTGATGCTAGATGGATATGCTTGAATTTGCCAGGTGTACAAGATAAAAGACCATTCCAAGCCGTAGGGATAGTTTACAGAGGCCTGAAAAAATGTAAGGCATTTAAGGAAAGGCAAGCACTGGCTGGTGTGTTCCTCAGTCCTTCTTTCTTTTCTCTTGCTTCCATCTCCTTTTCTTTCTTTCTTGGTAGCAAATTTAGTTCAAAGGTGCTAAAATGATCTATATTCCAGATTCTAATGCTTATAAATCCCACCATTCATAATAGAAATAGAAAAGGGTTAGAAATAGTGTTGACAATAAAAAGGCATGGCATTTAGAAAAAAAAGAAAATACATAGGCTAATGCAGTAGATAAGAGAGGATAAGACTGGTAGGAACTGAGGCTGGAAAGATAGATTGGTTTGTAACCATTGTGGATCTTGAAATCTATCATAAACAGTCTAGACTTTTTTTGCACTGAAGCGATGACTTGATTAGATTATTCTTTTAAGAAAGTGGCTAGGTGGTGGATATATTTAGAGAATGGAAAAGTTGAAAACAAGAGACTAGGAAGCTATGAAAGTAGCCTAGGAGGGAGCTGTTGAGAACCTGAGTGTGCCAGTTAGAATGGAAAGAGGGGGAATAGAAGGGAGGAATATGAGGCATGTGGTTCTTTTGTACTTGATTTTGGTAGAAGACATGAGATGCTCTAATACCATGAATATCATTATATTCTGTGCTAAAATAACTTATACTTTGGATTTCAGTCCTATATAAACCCATGTGCCTTTGGGATGAAACTGTCAGAACTAGAGTCTTTGGATATTTGAGTAGTTCACCTCTGGAGGGAATCTGGAATAACCCAGCTTCTGCTGAGTGTGCTATAAAGTGCATCATGAATTTTAAGTGCTGAAGGAAAGATTAGGAAGTATAGTGACAAAAATGTTAACTGGAATAACTGAATAGAATAATCATATTTTGCTTGTCTCTCCCTTCTCCCCAAAGCTTCTTAATTTGTATAATATATGTAAATGGTTTCTTGAAGAGTTTTAGTTTTTAATGTTTTGGTAAAAGTTTTCTATATTTAGTGGAGAATTATTTTACTAAGTAGAGTAACTATGTGCTTTATAATTTTGTAGCAAGTTAATTCTTATTTATCATTTTGTGCTTAATATTTTTGAAAGACTTAAAAATTATTCTTTTGTGTTTTAACCAGGCTACTTTGGATAGAGTTTGTAAGGTAAATTTCTGATAGGCTAGTTTGGTTCATAGCATTTCTTTTATTCAAATTAACAGTGAAAACAGCTTTAATGGTTCATAGCACTATTTCTCAAACTGTGATGAAAGACCAGTTTTTAAAAGTTTTCTAATATGTCACAGAATACCTAATGGTCATGGTGAACATGCAATTCACATTACATGTGAGCTCCCACACAGATTTGGTCAACTCTAACTAATTTATACTCTGAATAAGTCTGCTGATCATCCACTTGGATGTTGTAGCAATATCAAGTTGCTATAAAAGTTTCTTCCTTTTAATTTCTGTATTTATATTATTGGGGACTGGTAACAGTTTGTTGATGGTTTTCAGTCAATGGACCACACATTTAGAAGCACTGACTTAGGAGGTTTTGCATATAATTTTGTTTTATGGTTTTTGCCTGATTAATGTGGTAAAGACAGTGTGTAATCTGTATTCTTTTTTAAAAAAAATTCTTTTTGTTGAAAGTATTACATATGTCTCCTTTTCCCCCCATTGACCTCTCCCCAGCTGTTCCCACCCCTAGCATATGCCCTCACCCCCCTATAGTCTGTATCCATCACACCCCTATAGTCTGTTATGCTTATATGCATGCATACAAGTCCTTTGGTTGCTCTCTTAAACCCTTCCCCATGCCCCCCACCTTCCTTTGAAGTTGGATGGTCTGTTTGATGCTTCTATGTCTCTGGATTTATTTTTGTTTATCTATTTATGTTGTTCATTATATTCCACAAATGAATGTGATCATGTGATATTTATCTTTTTCCGACTGGCTTATTTCGCTTATCATAATGCTGTCCAGGTCCATTCATGCTGTTGGAAATGGTAAGAGTTCCTTCTTTTTTACAGCAGCGTAGTACTCCATTGTGTAGATGTACCACAGTTTTTAATCCACTCATCTGCTGATGGGCACTTAGGCTGTTTCCAAATCTTAGCAATGGTGCATTATGCTGCTGTGAATATAGGGGCGCACATATCCTTTCTGATTGGTGTTTCTGTTTTCTTGGGATATATTCCTAGAAGTGGGCTTACTGGGTCAAATGGGAGTTCCATTTTTAATTTTTTGAGAAACTCTATACTGTTTTCCACAGTGGCTGCACCAGTCTGCATTCCCACCACGAGAGTTCCTTTTTCTCCACATCCTTGCTTGCACGTGCCATTTGTTGATTTTGAGCATGTTTTCATGTCTCTTGGCCTTCTGTGTGTCCTCTTTTGAAAACTGTCTATTTAGATCCTTTGCCCATTTTTTGATTGGATTGTTTATCTTCCTTTTAAGTTGTTTGAGTTACCTACAAATATGAGGGATTAAAACCTTGTTGGATAAAACATTGGCAAATATGTTCTCCCAGGCTGTAATCCATATTCTTAAAAGACAACTCAGCCCAGCTGACGTGGCTCAGTGGTTGAGCATCAACCTATGAACCAGGGGGTCATGCACAGTTTGATTTTTGGTTGTGGGCTCGATCCCCAGTAGGGGTCATGCAGGAGGCAGCTGATCAATGATTCTCTCTCATCATTGGTGTTTCTTTCTCTCCCTGTCCCTTCCTCTCTGAAATAAATCCTATGTAATAAAAGCCTAATATGCTAAGTGTCCAGTTAATTGTTCAACTAATCAAAGCATAATATGCAATGATATGCTAAGGTCACTCAACCACTTGCTATGGCGTGCACTGACCACCAGGGGGCAGACAGTTGACCGGTCGACTAGTTGCTATGATGTGCACTAATCACTAGGTGCAGATGCTCCGACTGGTAGGTTAGCTTGCTGCTACGGTCCAGCTGATCGTGACTGAACAAGACTGGCCGGACATGCCCTGGAGCCCTTCCATGGTCCTTCCCTGGCTGGCCAACCTCCTGCATCTCTCCCCGGCCCTGATCGTGCACTGATGGGGTCCCTCAGCCTAGCCTGTGCCCCTCTTACAATCCAGGACTCCTCAGTGGATGTTGGAGAGCTGGTTTCAGTCCTATCCCGCAGGCCAGGCCGAAGGACCCCACTGGTGTACAAATTTATGCACCAGGTCTCTTAATATATATATTAAGAGACCTGGTGCATAAATTTAACATTTAATATATAAACATCCATTATAAATTATAATATATATAATTTATAATGGATGTTTATATATATATATATATAAACATCCATTATAAATTAGTTTCTGTACATTACAAGTATTGGTAGTTTTTGAAAATCTGTTTAGTAACTTTACTTAAATTTATTGCCTGATGGTGTGAAAAATGACTACTCTGAATCTCTTCACGTATTTGTTTATGACTGTGTGTGATCACTGAATATGCTTTATAATAATACTTACCTACAAGGGTCTCTTACTTTGACTTTCTGATTTTAAAAATGTCTGTTATACAGATAGCTCAGAGGTTGTGATGGGAGAGGAAAGATTATACAGATAATTTCCAAATCATATTTAAAACAAAATGACAATGTTTAGATTATCCAGTGCAATTAACCATGGTTACAATAGGGATGTAGATCTAAGAGCTCTGTAATTATTCAGCTATTCCATGCATTTGTCATTGTTGTCAAATGCTGCCTAATTCTAAACTCAGGAGGTGACAGTAACTACCTAGGATTCCCACTTCAATTTCTCTAGCCCTGTAGCCAATTATTTATATAGTGGCAATTTTTATTTATTTATTTTTTCAATATATTTTTTAATGATTTTTTACAGAGAGGAAGGGAGAGAGATAGAGAGCTAGAAATGTCAATGAGAGAGAAACATCGACCAGCTGCCTCTTGCACACCCCCTACTGGGGATGTGCCCGCAACCAATGTACATGCCCTTGACCGGAATCGAACCCAGGACCTTTCAGTTCGCAGACCGACGCTCTACCACTGAGCCAAACCGGCTTCGGCAGCAATTTTTTTTTTAATTAAGAAGAAAGGGTATTAAAGATATTAAGGAGAAAGTATGTCCTAGGTATTTTAAGAAGTTAAAAAGATACGGTTTTAATAACAATGCTAACTTAGAGTTATAAAATATTTTAAAGTTTATAAAGTGCTTCTATACACACTTGGTTTGCTTGAGCCTTCCAATAGAGTTCAAAGTTTTACTAAATAGTTTAGCAATGAGTAGTTTTGCTCTCCCCTACAAAACAATGGGAAACACATTTATATATTTCAGTAATTACCAATCAAAGAAAGACTTGTATATTTTATATATCAATGTCTTTCAAATACAGTCCAATCTTTGAATTAACATTTTGCCTTGTTCCAGTTGCTAGAACCTGTCTGTCACCAGCTCTTTGAATTCTATCGCAGTGGAGAGGAGAAGTTACTTCGATTTACACTGCAGTTTCTTCCAGAACTGATTTGGTGCTACCTAGCCGTCTCGGCAAGCAGAAATGTGCACAGCAGTGGATGCATTGAAGCTCTTCTTCTAGGGGTTTATAATTTGGTTTGTATTGAATGTGGTTAACAAAATGTTTTTTGGCAAAAGCAAATGCATAACATTATCAGCAAAAGCAAATATCAACTACTTTTCATGTTTGTAAATCTAATATTTGTTTTTTTTGTACATCAAATGATTCAGCTCATTCTTCCAAACATAACTTTATGCAGTTGAGGGTTATATGGGCATACCGTGCTTTCTGGCGTATAAGACGACCCTCCTAATTTTACAGTTAAAACATAGGTTTACAAGACTGGTTTGGCTCAGTGGATAGAGCGTCAGCTTGGGGACTGAAAGGTCCCGGGTTTGATTCCGGTCAAGGGCATGTACATTGGTTGCGGGCACATCCCCGGTGGGGTGCAGGAGGCAGCTGGTCGATGATTCTTCCTCATTGATATTTCTAGCTCTCTATCCCTCTCCCTTCCTCTCTGTAAAAAATCAATAAAAATATATTAAAAACAAAAAAAGCAACACATAGGTTTAGGCCTATATTCACTGTATAATACTACCCCCCACTTCCAAGGCAACACCAGTTATTTTTTTAATAGACCGCCTCTCTAACTCAGCCAATCCAGGCAGGCTTTTTATGCATGCAAATTATACATGTTCTGTACCCGAAGCTACACTGTGTTCTAGTAAAAAGCTTGCTCAGATTGGCCAGAGTCAGAGAGGCGGTCTATTAAAAAAAGAAGTGGTGTTGCCTTGGAAGTGGGGGGTAGTCTTATATAGCGAATATAGGCCTAAACCTATGTTTTAACTGTAAAATTAGGGGGTCATCTTATACGCCGGAAAATACGGTACATATAATCTATATATATAGAAGGCTAATAAGCAAAGTGTCCCTGTGAGTTTGACCAGGAGACCAGGAGTTCACTCGCTCACTATGACGTATGCTGACCACCAAGGGCTGGCGCGGAATGAAAGAAGGCTCTAGCCAGTAGCCAGCAGCTGGGGAAGGGAGGCCCTGGCCGGCCCTAATCACTGATCAGACCTAGGGACCCAAGCTGTGCATGAATATTGTGCATCGAGCCACTAGTTATGTAAATAAATCTTTTGGGGATTGACTAAAGACTGAAAATAAGACCAATTCTTTTATAGAAGTATCTGAAAATATCATTATTGAATTTAAAAGTTTTTAAACTTAAAATCTATTGTCTATAAATTGTTTGTGACATTCACAAAAAGTTTAGGAAAAAAAAATTAGTCTAACATCTACCATTAATAATTCTGTAAAATCTGGACTATCTCCAAAGCTATAACATTGATTTAACATGTAGTTTGAATTAGTAGTAGTGTTTGTATATTAATTAGTATGACATTCTAGATAGTTAAGGTTTCTACTTTTAAAATGGAAAAAAAGTAACTCTTGACATATTTGGTAACTGTGTCAATTAATTAATGAAAAAAATTAATGACTATTAAGATTACATCTAATGTCAGCCATTCTTGAAATTACGTTACTTATATTTAATTTTTTATGCTACTTAAATTTTAAAATGTGAAAAATTTATGCAATCTGAAGGGAAACCAGAGTATTATATTACTTATATTTTAAAAGTGAAAGGTTAAATCCAAATGTTTCTGAATAATTTATGATGCATTATCATAATTTAAGATTTCAGTTGATTTTAAAATTCTTTTCTTTACAGGTCATACTTGAGAATAACAATTTAAATTTAACCTTTAAATTTATGTGTAAAACATAACTATTTTAATATACTTTCTTTTACTTTTGTAGGAAATAGTTGACAAACAAGGACATAGCAAAGTATTGAGTTTTACGATTCCATCTTTATCCAAACCATCTGTATATCATGAAGTAAGTGGCATTTTATCAGTGTTCTTATTATTGCTAAGATTTGAAGTTGCTGTAAATTGGGGTCTGATTATTGAGACAAAATTTTTGATCAGTTTATTAGTACTGTAAGTATAAAACACTAAATTATTTGCTATTTTCAAATTTGAAATGAGAATTCAAAATCATTAAACTCTAAAATCTGATTCTTAAGAAATCTATTTAAAGTATTCATTTTGAAATATTTTTCTCTTTTTCCAATGGATAAGACTAGTCTATCTTTTTTTTTTTTTTTTTTTTGGTAGCAATTATGTGTTTTCATGGTAGAACTTTTGAAGTTAAACTATTATTTCTATTTGTAGTTTGGTTGTTTGTTATTCTTTGAGCAGAAAATTTAGTAGACAGTTTGAATATTTTTAAGATATATGATTTCATGGCAATTATTTTTAGTGGTACATGTATTCTAAGTATCACATTTTTAACAAAGGGTTTTTATTTTTATTTTTTCAAATGTCCTTTTTTTAGCCTTCCAGCATTGGTTCCATGGCTCTGACTGAGAGTGCACTATCCCAGCATGGTTTGTCAAAAGTTGTGTACAGTGGACCTCACCCCCAAAGAGAGATGCTAACAGCACAGAATAGGTATGCTGTAGAGACATAATTTATACTACTGCCACACTGATTTAAAACATTATTTCAGTAGGCTTCTAAATAATGTTTAATGAGTTGTATATAGCAATTTTTTATTTATTTTGTTTTTGTTTGCCAATGTCTTTATATATTTTTTAAATTTAATAAATATTTATTGTTCAGATTATTACAATTATTCCTCTTTATTCCCCCATAACTCCCCTCTACCCGGTTCCCATCCCACCTTCTGCTCTTACCCCCTCCCACTGTCCTCATCCATAAAGTGTATGATTTTTGTCCAGTCTCTTCCTGCACCCCCACACCCTTTTTCGTCAATCAACTGAGAATTGTTAATCCACTCCCTTTCTATGCCCCTGATTCTATTATATTCACCAGTTTATTCTGTTCATCAGATTTTATTATTCACTTGATTTTTAAATTCACTTGATAGGTATGTATTTCTTGTTCATAATTTTTATTTCTACATTTTTCTTCTTCTTCTTAAAGAACACTTTTCAGCATTTCATATAATACTGGTTTGGTGGTGATGATCTCCTTTAGTTTTTTCTTATCTGAAGCTCTTTATCTGCCCTTCAATTCTGAATGATAGCTTTGCTGGGTAAAGTAATCTTGGTTGTAGGTTCTTGCTATTCATCACTTTGAATATTTCTTGACACTCCTGTCTGGGCTGCATAGTTTCTGTTGAGAAATCAGCTGACAATCATATGGATGCTCCCTTGTAGGTAATTAACTGTTTTTCTCTTACTGCTTTAAATATTCTCTCTTTGTCTTTTGCTCTTGGCATTTTAATTATGATGAATCTTGGTGTTTTGGATTCCTTTTGTTTGGGGTTCTGTGTGCTTCCTGGACTTGTAAGTCTATTTCTTATACTTCCAGGTGGGGAAAGTTTTCTGCTATTATTTCTTCAAATAGGTTCAGTATCTTGCTCTCTCTCTTCTTCTGGCACCCCATAATTCTGATGTTGGTACCCTTGAAGTTGTCCCAGAGGCTCCTTACACTATCTTCATATTTTTGGATTCTTTTTTCTTTTTGTTTTTCCGGTTGAGTGTTTTTTGCTTCTTTGTATGTCAAATCTTTGACTTGATTCTTGCGATGCCCTAGTCTGCTGTTAGATCTCTATATAATATTTTTTATTTCAGTCAGTGTATTCTTAATTTCTAGTTGGTCCTTTTTCATATCCTCGAGGGTCTGGCTAAATTTATTGGCCTTTTCTAGAAAATTCTTGAAAAACCTTATAACTGTGGTTTTGAACTCTATATCCAGTCGTTTTCTTTCCTCCATTTCTTTCATTTGTGATCTGTTTCTTTGTCTCCGCATTTTGGCTGTATCCCTGAATTGATAGAGTGGCTTTGTGTGCGAAGTGTCTTATAGGGCCCAGTGGCTCAGCAGTTCCAGTTACCTGAGGTGGACACTCTTTGATGCACCCCTTTGTGGGCTGTGTTCACAGTCTTGTAGTTGGTATCCCTGGGAGGAATTGACCTCCAGACTAATTAGCTGTGAGGATCAGCTATGTCTATGCTGGGAGAACTTCTGTGCTGGAGACATCCTTATGAGATAAGACTTGCAAAAGCCTCTGTGCTCAGCTAGGATGGGGCGGAGTCTCATTGCAGAGCAGACAGCATTGGTTTCCTGTCAGCCCTGCCCTAATAGGTCCCTATGTCTCAGTGTCCCATGGTAATCGCTTCAAGCACCTCTGAGAGATAGCCACCCTCGAGTTCCACCTGCTGCCAGACAGCCCAGTTTCTCCCTGAATGAGTCTGGGTCCCCAGAGTCTCGCCCAGAACTGGAGTTCAGCACAGTTGGGAGCTTTTATCTCCCTCCTGCTTGAGAAAGCCAGCCATGCACTCAGGTGCCAGTCCTCTCCGTGCATGCATCTCAGTACCTCTGCCTTCCACAGTTCCTCTGAGTCTCAGTGTGCTTTTCTCTTTCCTTCTAGTTGTAGAATTTCCACTCAGCCATCCTTCCTGTGGTTCTGGATGATGTACGTTTTGCCTTTTAGTTGTAGTTTTGAAATTGTAGTATGAGGCAGCAATTTAGGTGTTTACCTATGCTGCCATCTTGGTTTCTCCTCTATATAACAATTTTTTAAAATATTAAGTCATTGTACAAGAGAAAAAATGTATTCCCAATTTGCCACTTATCCTTTGCTTTAGATGTCATTCGAAACATCAAATTTTTAAGATAATTTTCATGTGACTGTTACTTGGGAAGTCTTTTTTCTTTTTTGAGTTTTATATTATTATTGTCGTGATTATTTTATATAGGTTTATTCTGTAATATACTTCTCCCCACTGCCTGCTTAATTTAATTATGATTGACTTAAAATTTTAAAGATTTGTAAATATTTTTTTGGTTTATCTTTAGGTTTGAAGTATTGACATTCCTTTTGTTGTGTTACAATGCTGCCTTAACCTATATGCCCAGTGTTTCTCTTCAATCATTGTGTCAGATTTGTTCAAGGTAAATTAAACTTTAAGTGTTTTTAATATTGAAATAATTAATCTAGGGTTGCTAGTTTGTTATATATCTAAGTTGTTTTTGTTTTATTATTTGTTTAAAACTTTTTAAAAATTAATTTGCAAGAGAAGGTAGAGAGAGAGAAAAAGAGAAACATCGATGTGCTAGAGAAATATTAATCAGCTATCTCTCAACCAGGGATCGAAGCTGCAACGTTGGTATATGTTATGACAGAATTGAACATTGATCAGTTGCTTCCCACATGCGCCCCAATCAGAGGTCACAATGGCAACCTTGGTATGTGCCCTGACAGGGAATTGAACCCACCACATTTTGGTGTACAGGATGACACTCCAAGCAACTGAGCCACATCAGTTAGGGGTATTTAAAATGTTAAATAAGCCGAAACCAGTTTGGCTCAGTGGATAGAGCGTTGGCCTGCGGACTGAAGGGTCCCAGGTTCGATTCTGGTCAAGGGTATGTACCTTGGTTGTGGGCACATCCCCAGTGGGGGGTGTGCAAGAGGCAGCTGGTCAATGATTCTCTCTCATCCATGTTTCTAACTCTCTATCTCTCTCTCTTCCTCTCTGTAAAAAAATCAATAAAATATATTCTTAAAAAAATAAAAATAAAAAAATAAAATGTTAAATAAGTTGCACTAGCTGGTTTTGCTCAGTGGATAGAGCATTGGCCTGCGGACCAAAGGGTCCCAGGTTCGATTCTGGCCAAGGGCACATACCTCATTTGTGGACTCCTCCCTGGCCTGGGCCCTGGTTGGTATGTGTGTTGGAGGCAACCAATCAATGTGCCTTTCTCACATCGATGTTTCTATTTGTCTTTCCCTCTTCCAGGCTCTATGAAAACTGATGAAAAAAATATATTTGGGCAAGGATTAAAAGTTGGAAAAATAAGTTAAATAAGTTATTATGAAGTCCAACACATAGAAAGTTATTATAGTCACAAAAAATACAACAAAGAAGCTGAGGTGGACACTTGGAATATTTAATGGAATATTTCACCAGAAAAGAATAATATTATATAATTAAGAGGATGGAGCCATTATGATCTTTCAGTATTTGACATGTGGTTGTTTCTGTTTTGTTGGTTTTAAAAACAATTATTTTTAATTTCTGTTGTGCTCTAACTTGGTACCAAGAAATAAGTAAGAGATACAGTTTTTAAGCTTTTCTTGTTTATACAAAATTGAGCCACCAGGTTGGTTAAATAAATTATGGTAGTTCTTAGGTATACTATGCAAACATTTAAAAATGTTGATTTAAAAAGGTATTTACTGATAGATTGTGTATGCAATGATTCCAGCATTAATTTAAAATATAACAATAGTCATTTCTGGTTAGTAGAATTATAGTTTATTTTAATTTTTTCCTGTGTGATTTTCTGTTCTGTTCTAAATTTGCTATGCTGTGATGAACATGTTACCTTTAAAAAAACAAATAAACAACAAACCAAAACAAAAAGATATAGAAAATGCTTTGGTAATTCAAGTAAATAGAGAATTAATAAACTTGAAGAATAATTCAGATTTGGGGGACTTATTTAGAAAATGTAACTTTGAAATATTAGTAAGAGGGAGGGTGCATAGAGCAATACTTAGAAATCAAATAAAAATAAACCAAACAGAAAATCAGAAATTGATACTGAATAAGATATAAAACTGTACAGGACCAGAGGGAGAAGGTTGGTAATAAAGCAAGAGGCTTGTTAGAGAATTGGAGAGTCAGATGATTCCTAAATTAGCATAATTAAATTTCCTAGATGTTGGAAGATGATACCAATGTGCCATTTTCTCCACTTACTGAATTTCTCTAATACGTTTCTTGTTAGTCAAAGGTGCCCAGACTTTTGAATTTTATAAGATCTGTAAAAATTTTTATAAAAGATATATAGTGTTGCCCACTTTTTATCTTGCCAAGTGATATTATAAATATCTACCCTCAACATTATTAACAAAACTGAAACTATTTTAATATAAAAAAACAGGGAAAGTGGAAGGGAAGGACAACATTTATAAATTAAAAATGGGATGTTTAGCTTTCTTTGTTTCTCATGTCACTATGGTCTAGTAAAACTTTGTTATGGACTAAAATGAGAATAAGGACCAACACTTCATAAAAACTAGTTTAAGGAGTGACTTGATGCAGCAACATTCATCTTTAGACTTTAAAGCAGACTACAAAGCCCAACTTCTATTCTGGAGTAGTGTCTTAGATGGTAGGGCTCAGGAATGCAGATACAGATATAGATAAACACATCTATACCATAAATCTGAAACTTAGCATCTTCTAAAACAGTATCTTATTTGTCCAAGTTCATTTAATGACACTACCACCCATACTGCTATCCACTCTAGTGTAGAAATAATCATATACTCCTATTCAATTTTATTTCTAGATGTGACTCCTCCCTTACTTCTTTAGTTTGCTCACTTCATCTCACTTGTGGGATGTTTTGATACTTTCCATTCCTGTTTCAGTGACTTCCAATACAACCTGTGTGATATAATTGAAAGACCAAGCTCATCATGTCACTCCTTTGCTTAAAACAAGACCTTTAGTTGCTTCTCATTGCCTACATGATAAAGCCTAACAGGGTGTAAGATATTCTGTGATCTGACCCTTATAGCTTATAGCTTCTCTGTTGCTAGCCTCCTAGCATTCTATCCTACTAAAATTTCCCCAGTCTTCTTGATATCATGCTATTTCACCCTTTTTTCTTCAAGGCTCTAGGTTTGTTAAATAAATTACAGTAGTCTTTGGGTGAGGATTAAAAAAAAAAGTAAAATAAGTTAATATGAGTCACTAGGTTGATTAAATAAATTATGGAAGTCCAAAGAAATAGCTTTCTGGAAGCCTTCTCTGACTTTTTACTTCTTCCACTAGAGATTTCCACTCTCTCCTTTTGTTATTTCTGTAATTTGTTCATTGAAATATTTGTTTATTAGACAGTCTCCATGGTTAAATTGTGAATTCCTGTGGGTGCTAAAGCTTTCATCTATATTCCTAGTGTTTGACACAATACAAACCTTTTTTTAAAATTTCAATTTATCTTTAATTTAAGGTATGTACTATATGATGTTTGAATGTCATTTTAGAGTATTTTTTTAAGCCTGCAGTTTGTGTCAAGAATTTTGTCAGTGCCCAGATGGCATGGCTCAGTGGTTGAGTGTCTCCCATGAACCAGGAGGTCATGGTTTGATTCCCAGTCAAGGCACATGCCCAGGTTGTGAGCTTGATCCACAGTGCAGAGTGTGCAGGAGGCAGCTGATCAATGATTCTCTCTCATCATTGATGTTTCTGTCTCTATCTCCCTCTCCCATCCTCTCTGATATCAATTAAAATATTTTTTTTCAGGAATAGAGAATCACACCACAAATCTATTTATAATAAATAGTGCTGAATCCATGTACTAGGTTTTACAGTGACTAAAAAATTGATCAAAATTAGTGAATCAACTTTGAGAATATGGTTCACTTACTATATACTAACACCCCTCTAGCTTTATGCATTTCACCCCAATCTAATTTGCTTAGGAAAATATTACAGACAAATATTCTGTTTGGAAAGATTCTTTTGTTTAGAGAAGTGAGCAAACCCAGTACATTGTTGGCTTATATATGTTAAAAAATAAATTACCTAAAATTTTACCAATTTTACAAATATTTTTATTTTGGTCTTTCTAGAATCTGTGTTTGTGGATATCCCAAACAACATGTAAGAAAATACAAAGGTGTAAGTAGCAGGATACCAGTTTCTTCAGAATTCATGGTGCAGATGTTAACAGGGATTTATTTTGCTTTGTAAGTTTATTTCATATACAAAGTAAACATTTTATCTTTTTGGAAAATTATAGTTTGTTGTTTTATTGTTACTATATACTTGCCGCAATAGATAAATAATTGACATATTTTTGTGAAAAAAATCAAGATCTTGATAATAGTTTTATTTCAAATATATCTTTTAATGTTCTGAAGAATTTGCATCCAACTAAAACACTTAAATTTAAGAACAGAATGAAAATTAGCAACACCTAAGTATATGCACAGTTCCTTTTTTCATTACTCTTTTTGCTGTAGTTTTCAAATAGCCTTTTTTAACGCAATGAATATCTTTTTCCATTCTAGAAATTTTAACTCTTAAAAAACATTTTAAAGCCTCTTTGATCACAAATAATGTATTATTAGTTTCTAATATTGATGCTCAGCCTTAATGCCTTACATACTAGTATTTTTCTTTGAACCTTATCTTTTACTTGGTAATTCTCTTATTATACATATTTTACTGTATTTTTTATTATATTCATTGGTACTTTAACTTTCCATAGTAGATTATAAACCTCTTGAATGAGGTAGAATTTATGATCTTTGGGCCAAATGTGGTCTGCTGCCTGCTTCAAAAAAATTGTGTGTGTGAGATCTATGGCTGCTTTTTTTTTTTTTTTTTTTTTTTTTTTCTTGTAGTGACAGAATTGAGTACAGACTTTCTGGTGGGTCACAAGACAAAAATATTCATTATCTAGTCCTTTAAGAAAAAGTTAACCCTGGATTAGACCTTTTTTTAAAAAAAATATATTTTATTGATTTTTTTTTTTTTTTTTTTTTACAGATTGGAAGAGAGAGAGATAGAGAGTTAGAAACATCAATGAGAGAGAATCATCGAACAGCTGCCTCTTGCACACCCCCTACTGGGGATGTGCCCGCAACCAAGGTATATGCTCTTGACCGGAATCGAACCTGGGACCTTCCAATCCGCAGGCTGACGCTCTATCCACTGAACCAAACCAGTTTCGGCATGAATTAGACCTTTAATATTGTCCCTTGTAATCACATTTTCCAACATACATCACGCACACTTCTAAAGGACTATCAAAATACAAAGAAGTAACTACTTAGGATATTGCAAACCACAGTAGTTGTAAATTCTCATTAAAAACTATGGGAGCCCTAGCCACAGTTTGGCTCAGTGGATAGAGTGTTGGCCTGTGGACTGAAGGGCCCCGGGTTTTGATTATGGTGAAGGGCATATACCTTGGTTTTAGGTTCCTCCTCAACCCAACCCCTTGTCAGGGTGCATGCAAGAGGCAACCAATCAATGTGTTTCTCTCACATTGTTGTTTCTCTCTGTTTTCCCCTCTCTCTTTCACTCTCTGAAAATCAATGGAAAAAATATCCAGGTGAGGATTAAATTTTTTTTAAAAAAACCATGGGAGTTAAAGAATAATCCTATATAATAAAGTGTGAATATGCTAATTGACCATCACACCCTCACAAAGATGGTGGTGCCCACAGCCACAAGATGGTGGTACTCAGTCCCCTCAGCTGTGCCACGGGCCTGCCTCCGGAGTCCCTCAGCCCCACTGGCTGTGGGTCTGGCTGCGTCCTGCACCTGCCGGCCGTGGGTCTGGCCACACCACACGCATGCTGCCAGAGTCCCCCAGTCTTCTCCAATTGGAGAGGTGCAGGCTGGACTGAGGGAACCCCACCCTGTGCACAAATTTCCTGCACTGGGCCACTAGTTTGACCATAAAGTGTTCTGAACATTATTCTAAGGTACAAAATTTACTCTGTTCTGACTTGCTTTGAAAATATAAAATGCTTTGATATTGCCTGCCTTATTTTTATATCTGTTTCATAAATAGAAATATCTTTAGAGAAGAAATGTCCATCTATAAAATATTCTGTTCTATTAATTGGCTTTCAGATACAATTGAAAGGAATTCAAAGAGTTAAAAATATGTATTTAAGGAGAGAGTAATGCTAGGCAATGTGCTAATGTGACCAATTATTTTCCTCAGTATTTTGTTCAAGTATATAGAATTAATTTAATCAGCTTAACAATAACCCACAACCTTTGGACCAACTTAGAATTAATTTAAAATAATTATATTTTATTTACTTAATTTTATAGTTATAATGGAGAATGGGATCTAGCTGAAAAAGCATTGGATGATATTATTTACAGAGCCCAGTTAGAATTATATCCAGAGCCATTGCTGGTAAGTGCCTCATTTATTGATGTAATTTTTTAAATTTAAAAATTCTCAATTTAGAACTGTAAATTGAAGAGTAGCCAGTCATGTCATTAATACTCAGTGATTCATGCTCCTGTTATACTAGGAAAATTTTATATTTGAAAAGGTACACATATAATAAAATTTGATCATTTCATTTGCCTAACTTCTTGGATACCTGATAAATAGTCTTTTTATCTTACAAGAATGTTCTCCTTAACATCCTAAAGCTACACTTATTAGTTAGCATTAGGTATTTGGAAATATAATTTAATCTTTTGAAATTTCATCACTTGCATATTATATAATATTTAACTATAAGTTTTCTTGTGAGTTCTTACCCTTTATTCCAGAGGATTTATATATTATAGGAAATACCTTAGAGGAAGTATTTTTTTAAAACCTGTTAAAATTTAACATCTTGTTTTATCTAATGTATAATAATACATTTTTATTTTTAATACCAATCTTAAACTATATGTTTCTCTCTTAGGTTGCTAATGCAATAAAAGCTTCATTGCCTCATGGTGCCATGAAATCTAGTAAGGAGGGTACAAGGTGTATTCAAGTTGAAATCACACCAACTGCCTCTAGAATATCAAGAAATGCAGTAACCAGCATGTCAATAAGAGGTCATCGGTGGAAAAGACATGGTAGGAAATAAAAAAAAACTCTACACATTAGAGGATTGTTGAGTGTGTCACATTTTTTCCTGGTACTATAACTCCTGGCTTTAGATAACAGTATCATAGTGGCATGGTAGAAAGTGTTATTTGGTCTCTTTTAATTTCTAATTAATTTCCCATGAGTGACAGGCAATAAGGAAAGTAGAGCCGTTTATGTTACATACATGAGTGAAAATTTATTTAAATATTATATTGGTTTTTAAATTATCTTTCAATAGAGAGAAAAGTAGAAAAATTCATTTAAAAATTGTTCATACATTTTGAGTTTCTATTTACAATTACTTGCAAATGTTTCTGGTTTCTAAATATCTTTCTAACAAAGTACACTTGCATATTGAAGTAGAACAAATAATAGGCACTTGAACATTTTCTTTTGGATTTCCTGTCAAGGATGCCATAGTATTGATGCAACCCTAGGCATTTCTGTTTTCTGGAAGTTAATTTTCTTCAAAGATTGTTTAATATTCCTCCTTGACTGTTTCATTTTATTATTTGAAAATTCTATTGAAAGTTAATTTTCTTCACCAGGGTCTTCTCAATGCTTCCTATTTCTCTTCCTTCTTTTATAATTAATTATTTCTTATTTAATTTCTTATTCTTTTTATAACTCCCCTTCTACCTAGAAGTTATTGTAGTGGCAAGTATCCATGTAAATATCAGTGTCACCTTTCTCAGAAGGTAATAATAGAGTGGAAAGCAAAAGGTCACTGCTATGCCCTAAGCAAACATTGATTAGGGAAAAAGAAAAATCATTTCTCTATTTTCTTTTTCCTACAAATTGATGAAATTGGTAGCTCCTTTGGTATATTTAGTTATATTTCTCCCTATGGTCTTTTTAGAGAAATGCAAATGTGAGAAGAATGAGATTATTTATGGTGAAATAGAAAGTTGATGATGAGAAAAGTCATTTTTCTTTCTCAGGGAAAGTAGGAAATAGTATGTCAAATAAAGAATAATGATGAAAATTTCTAGCTTAATCAGTGATCACTATGAATCTTTTTCTCTTTAAAGGTAGTGTGACAATTCTTGAAGGTCCTTTAGGAAGGCACTAAAACGATGGTAGTGTTTGCCATTAACAAGGCAAATCATGTTACTATTTAAAACAAACAGATACTTCAGTTTTTTCAGTGAAAATTATGTTACTGAATGGAACTAGATTATAAATATAAAGTTATTTAATTAGATAGTACCTTAGAGATCAGTGTTTTGTTTGGGCATAAATAGGCGAATATAGGCACAGAGACAATGAACCAAATCATATGGGTCATTTTGGGCATAGTGGCTCTCAAAATATCAGTTTAGGAAATGTAAGAATGAATTTTAATTCCCTTTGTTTACTTTCCTTTCTTGCTATTAAATGGGAATATTGGGAATTAGGAAGAAAAATATGGGTCCTTCAGTTAAAAATGTAAAATATTGAAGCTCAATTGTATTTGTGCATGCGTATGAGAAAAAGAGAAGGTGTGTAGATGTGTCCATGCATGCATTTAACAGAATAAGCTATGCACCCTGCAATAAAATAGAAGGCATTTTTCCAGAAATAATTTTAAAGGAATAAATTACCAAAACAAGAGAAAAGACTACTTGAGTTATATTGTATCAATTAGATACTTAGATATTTTCCAGATTACATTTTGGCCTCCACTTGGGTAGTTGGCACTTACGAGTACAGCTTCATTAAAATAAACTTCCTTATCATCGGGTCCCTTACACTTATTCAACCTTCACAACTGTTTATGGTAACAAAAAAGTCACAGATGAGGATTTGGAAGAGAATGAACTACAGAAAGAAGTCAGGTGAATGGAGCAGATACAGAATATAGCTCAGTCTTGTTTTCCACTTCTGTAGTGCGAATTCCCTTTATCCAGTGGACTCTATAAAGTATTCCTAGTCTAAGGTCCTTATTTATCTCTACAGGTAGGTTGCATTCTCCTGTTTTTAATATAGCCTTGGCTTTCCTTTTTACAGCAATATTTTTCATCGTTATCTTGTTTTGCTGAATTAAAAACTTCTCTGTTTTCCATCTTTGTAGTCCTGATTCTTGCTTAAAAACCTTATTATTCTGGGCTCTTTATCTGACACTGGCTTTTTATGGGGAATATAAAATATCTTTGCTTTAGTTCTTACATATAAATAATTCTCAAGTTATTAATGGATAATTAAATTTATTTATATATAAATTACATTTATTATATTACATTCATATACAAATTACATATATGAATTACAATAAAATTTAATTTATTTATAATTATTTTTTGCAGAAACAATGCTAAAGGGCTTGTAAATTTCATAGTGACCCACATAACCCTTTTCATCCCTTAATGTTTCTGAAGCAGAGTACTGCAGACTATAGGTTTAGTTTATGACTGTGTGAAAACAAATTTAGAGTTTATTTGATGGAACTCTTAATGCGTTTCCTATTTCACTTTATAGCCATACTACTCTTTTACCATACCAAACTTCCCAGGAAGAGGGATATCTTCCCATACTCTGAACTGTATCACACAGTAGGGATGTGGAATATGCAATTTTAAGCCTACAAGATTAGGATTGGGGGAAAAAGAGGGAGGAGAAGCATGAACTTTAAAGAAGAGTCTTTCTTTTCTCCTTGCCTCTTTCTTTGTTACTGCTGGGAAAGAAGAAAGCAATTGGCTCCTTTAATCCCCTTTCCTTGAGTTTCTTCCCCCCTTTTAATCTTTTTTCTTTTATTTATGTTTTTTAATTTATATAATTGGTGTGTAAAATTATATTAGTTCCAGGTGTACAACATGATTCAATAGTTGTATATATTGCAAAATGGTCACCACAGCATGTCTAGTGAACATCCATTTCCACACATAGTTACAAATATTTTTTTCTTGTAATGAGAATTTTCAGATCTACTCTCGTAGCAACTTTCAAATACATTTTTATTAATATAGCCGCCATGCTGTGCATGTGCATTACATCTCTAGGAGTTTCGTTTTTGAAAAGAGTGTGTGTGTGTGTGTATTATATTTTTTATATATATGTCTCGAGATTTGTACCTACTGACCAGTGGACCACTTTTACCCATACTCCTCAGTGCTCCCCAACCACCAATTGTTCACTGTATCGATTAGTTTAGTTTTTTCTTTGTTTAGATTTCACATATAAGTAAGATCATATAGTAATTATCTTCCTGTGTCTGACACCTTACTTCACTTGGCTTAATTCCTTCAAGACATATCCCTGTTGTCATAAATGATAAGATTTCTTTCTTTTTTATGGCTGAATAATATGCCATTGTAAATGTACCACATCTTCCTTTTTTTAAATTGAAAGGATCTGTTTTATTATTTCTTTTTATTATTGATACCTACCTGTTTGCATAAATGAGATATACAAGTTGAATCTCTTCTATTTTCATGTTAAGTGGAGACTGAAAACAAGTATTAAAATAACATTCTAAAAAATTCTGATTTAATGGTAACATAAATGTCAGATAATAGAATACTGTACTTCAGGACTAGAAACTACATTTATTTTGTAAATATGATTTTATGGCTTTATGAGAAAATCGTTTAGTGGAAAACAAAGTTGCTAATACTTATAAAAGCATTTTGAAAAATGCAGAAATGATCATTTTAAACTCCAAAGTAGCAAACTTTAAAGAATTGGCTATTGGAATTTTATATCTGCAATTAAAAATGTATAAAGCTTGCCAAAACCGGTTTGGCTCAGTGGATAGAGCGTCGGCCTGTGGACTGAAAGGTCCCAGGTTGAATTCCGGTCAAGGGCATGTATCTTGGTTGTGGGCTCATCCCTGGAAGGGGGTGTGCAAGAGGCAGCTGATCGATGATTCTCTCTCATTGATGTTTCTAACCCTCTATCCCTCTCTCTTCCTCTCTGTAAAAAATCAATAAAATATATTTTTTTAAAAATGTATAAAGCTTATGTTTTTAACTTAAAAACTATACTTACTTATTAATGAAATTTAGGAAAACTAGCAGTTTTATAAAAGGTTTAAATATTTTTAGTATAATTTTGAGAAGCCCCATTATTTTCAGATTCTAAAATGCTATTTGAGGAACAAATTTTCCTTTCCCAATATAGATGATAAAACATTTAGACAAAAAATAAGTATTTCCTTCTGGCCAAAGATAGCATTGCATAAATTTTAACTGGCATTCTTGATATGGAACTCTACTCATGAAGGACAAAATAAAATATTAGAAAATATTAGATGACTAAAAGAAAAAGGACCTATTGACCATGTTGGTACAATTTCCACATATGAACATTATGTTTAAAGAGGAAAGAATTCTGGCTTAGCCAACTTTAGAAGAAAACAAAACAAAAAAAAACCCTCTTAGTCTATGTCTAAGTAAAAGTAAAATAATTGTCTCTACAGAGAGGTAAGATATTTTACAGATATTGGACCTTAGGCAAACACATTTGTTTGTAAATTATTGGTTTATATTTTTTACTAAGGAGGTCATATGTAATTCTTGCTGTAGTTAATGAAGTTATTTATTGTTACTTATTATTGAGCACTACACCATCCTCCCAACCCCCCTTTTAGGAGCATTTGTTGCACATTGCACGCAGAAGAAGAAATAAGCTTTTATAGATAGTTTTACAATAGATGTTGCTTACCTGTTTTGGTCTGCCTGGTCATGAGGATCTTTAATCATCACGAAGGATTCACCTGGCCCAGCAGCATCCATGTTGCAATTCTTGAAGGGATTTTTTTTTTTAAACTTGAGACTTAATAAAGATGACAAAAGTTATTGAGAATGACTGATTCTACCTCAGGAAGGAGAATTGTATCATTTATTATATATGCAATAAAACTAAAGACTTGACTCTTGCACTGGCCTTTGTGACTCAGTTGGTTGGAACGTCTTCCCATACACCAAAAGGTTGCAGGTTTGATTTGGCAAATACCCAGGTTGCAGATTCTATCCCTGGTCAGGGCATGTGTGATGTGCAGGAGGCAATT